TATGCCCTCGCCATAGACAGACATAGTATCACAAAGACAAGTTATGACATAGTTCGACTCATCCATTTCTGTTTCTCCTTGCCCGCAACTGCTGGTTGATTGTGTTGGAAACTGCAAATCTAGAGTAACTGCATCGCGGTTTCTGGATCGGAACAACCGCTTTTCGCTTCCTAGGCCTAGGCTTCTCAGGTTTCCCTGCTCCCAGACCCTGGCCTATAATAATAATAACCAATGCAAGCCTCAGCACCAAACAATCAACAACCCTTTGTTTAATTATTCGCGTAACGTCAAGCTGCCGCCCGATTACATCACATCGTACACAGCAAGCAGTGCCAACCATTACATTCTCCCGAAAACCATGTAAAAAATCTGGCGTCCTGCGACTTGCTGCTATTCTAAGCCGCTGCAGCTTTGCGAAGGACAGCTCTGGGACGCGCACTGGCGGCGGCCCCAGTTTCTAAGGGCTTCTGCTGCACTTCTATTACGTACTCCATTGCACTTTCTGAAAATAATGAAAAATCCTTTTACTATTTGCGTCTATTGGCTTCTGCTTATATTTGGTCACAAACCCCCTGTCCGTCCGGCCCTGGACTGGACTGCACTACAGTACAGAACTGCGTACTGGGGTGAAACCTGAACCCTGAAGCCCAAACCCTACACCCCAAAACAGACTTTTCCAACGACTCCACATCTTCTCTAATCACGTCATGACCCCAAGTCAAGCCTAGGATTCCTATTATTCATGAAAGGAAACGCCCTCACTGTCACTGTCGGTTGGTTTTGTCGTCAGTCGGGTTCAGATCAGAGTTTGGTGTTCAGGATTTGCAGTGTCGGCGTAGAGGGTTGTTTACTACTTACTTTGGGCGATTGTTTCATTCAAAGCAGAATACCCCCTGTTGTGACGAAAATCAGAGTCATTCATCCCCACACGGTCCGAGGCTGATCCCATTTCCTCACGTGCTCAAGGACGACCCTGGGAAGGCACACATCAGGCGTCGTTTGGGCGAGACTGTTGGAAGTATTTACAACCTTAAGCCCTACACACTGCAAAATCCATTGAGTCAAGGTTTTTGTAATTTCTCTACTCTCTAGGGTTGCTGTCTTAGGGTTGAGGCTTCCGGGAAGTTCCAATCCAATAAACAATGCGTACTGTGTTAGTTAGTCCCCCTTCAAACTTCCACTGCTCCACAGCAAAGCCTTCGAGTGTCAGTCAGAGTCCATTGATGGTGTAAGGGAGCCCAGGGTTATAGAATACAACTTAACTTCGAGCTCAGGCGACAAGTACTTCTTGTCGGGCAGGGTTACATTGTCTTATCCGTCAAGGTCGCAAGCTTATGCTCTTGAGGTTCTTTTAATTCAATGAAGCTGTGATCCGTAGCCTGTAACACGTCCATTGAACCTACAACTTCCCAAGGGGCATAACCAGAAGCAACCTCAGGGCCTCGACAAGTCAAAAGCCCAATTCCTCAACCTTTAAACCCTGAACCCGAAGGCAGCCTGAGATGCAAAGCTGAATCCTCATTTCTGTCACTCCCTCGACCCTAAACTTTTGGGGACTCCTCTAAACCGTAAAGTTTACAGCCTGAATAATTTTCAATCCCAAAGGTTCGCGATTCGGACTGCTTCCCCACGTCGTCCTGCTTATGATTCTGTCATCCTCTAGCATTAGACTCCTGGTCGCGGGCCGGGGCGGCCAGGGAATCTACAGCAGTACAGATTTCTATTTCCGACTGCTACGCACATTCGCAGGTTGCCCAAACCCTGGTCACTACTTGGACTTGGCCTTGGAGAGGTCCGGCCAGCCTCGCTTATATCACGAATCACAGACCTTCTCTTCTCGCATTTTCATGCAGGGACAGTGAAGCCGTTCGGAGCGTTCAGAGTGTGCATGCTGCAACGAAACTGCTGTGCTTCCGTGAACTTTCCTGCAGTTTAGGTTGCTGATTTCCCACACCTTGCATTCGGCCGCTGCCACGACACATCGACTTCGCTCCCTCGCCTTCTCAGCCTTCGTCTTCGCTTTCGCTTTCGCCTTTCGACTTCGCCATGGGCAAGACACCGAGCGGAAAGAAGGCCGCCGCTGCTTCGAAGAAGGACCGATTGGTGACCAAGAAGGCAGAGGCTGTGAGGCGCGAACAGCAACAAGTGCTGTCGTCTCAGAAACAGAATGTGGCCTTGATGCTGGACCAGCTGGTGGACTGGTGCGAGTCTCACCCCCGTGGCCTGGAACACATTCATANNTAGGTCCGTCATGCTAGGGTCGTATGACGCTCTGGACAGGAAGGGTGCCTTGCAAGACGACGAGGCAAACACTCGCCTTCCGAGCTACATGAATAAGTTCCGGCTGTTGAACGCGCCCCTCGCCTTGGAAGTCTTGGCCTTGGTGGTTCCAGCGGTGGCTGCGTTCTTGGAGAAGCTCATGAAGAAGGGAGCCAAGATCAACAAGTTCCAGATCACGGAGATCGTCGCCTTCGTCTTGCACGTGGATCTGCGATCCGCATTGCCCAGCAAGCACAAAGGCCAGCTGCTCGAGTGGTGCAAGACCAGAAGCGAAGAGACGGACAGTCCTCTGAAGTCTTGGTCTTCGACTTCGGAGCCGAAGTGCGAGACATGGGAGGACAGGGGTCACCGGGTCGGGGCTCTGGTCGCCATACTGTTCTGATCTTCTCTGTGCAGAATTCATTGATTAGATCCCCCTTACTTAAGTCCTGAACTATCGTGTTTGCCGGCTTAGTCCTGCTGAGAACATTCTTGCAGGACTTTCAGAAGCACCCGCTCTACAGGTACTGGAACTTTGAGCACGACAGCAAGGACGAGGACCAATCGACGTTCGGGATGGTGCGGTACCTGCAGACGGACATTCGCCTTCGCCTGCCAAAGGAGATCCGCGGATTCCCGCTCAAGGCACCCCACCTCTTCTACACCAACTTCGTCAACGGGTGCATAAACATACCGATGACACATGTCATGCAGGCGAACGATGGAGATGATTCTGCGCTTCCGGAGCAGCCGCTCTTTTTCGATGCGGTGCCAAATGCACCCGCGACGAAGCTGCACACGCCGGAGGAGCAGAAGCCGGAGCCGTCTACCCCGCCGAAGAAGAACAAGAAGGGCCGCAACGATCCGAAGACTCCCGAAAGCTGCCGCTCGTCGAAGAGTGATCCCGTGAGCCCGCCACAGAAGACACCGCCTTCGTCTTCCAAGCGCAAGCGCTGAGTCTTGCGAAGACGGCCTGTCGCCTTCGTCTTGGATTTTGCTTACACTTATGTTGAATAAATACAAAACCTTAAATAATTGCACTCAGCCCTCCTGCCACTGCTGCTATGAAGACAAAATATTTAGTACGTACTTCAATGTACTACTACGAACTGCGAATAGTGAACAATACGACGAGTCAGACTAATGGTTTACCTACGAACCGTTGTAGTTGTAAAGGTAATGCTTACTAGTACGTAGTACTAGTGCTAGTAGTACTACCAGCAACAGTTTACTTACTATAGTAGCAGTGCTAGTAGTATTAGTAGTAGTAGGTAGTAGTAGAA